CGACATGATTTTATATATGAAAAATCATCAAAGAAATGTCTATCTAATATTCAATGAACATTCTTGCTTCATGAGTTAATAAATCCTCATCAAGTAGGTCTTGATATTGGGCGCATGATGTATCCATTGATGTGCTCATGGCACCACCAGAGCACCCAGTCTTCTTCATATAAGTTTTCTTTGCACTTGAAATTTTTCCATGTAGTTGTTGTTCCACGCTCTACTAAGTTAGAAAGTAGCAAACTGTACCAGTTAATATGGCCGAAATATCATTCTATAAAGTTAAATTTTTGCCAAATGTTTTTAAAAGATGAAGCGGTGGTGATATTGAGGAATTTTGAAAAAATTTATCAGAAATTTTGTTTTTCAAGCTAAATTTCTTTTTTTCATTGTCCCCGAGTATGTATTAATAAATTGCATCACCCAAGTAGAAACGAAACTTTTAAGGAACCAATTTTGGGAAGGTCACACGATGTCTTCCTCGCAAGCAGAATTGGAGATAAACCCATGCATGGTGTTTAGGACAATTTTACAAATAAAAAAATTTTCTGAGTAGGCTTACCATCATCCGAGTGACGGTGAAAAAATTTTAGTGGTCAAATCTCCATTTTTTTTTGTGAATTGAATAATATTGATTCTAAATTTCTACTTGTGAACAGTCTCCTTGCAATTCCATAAACTTCAGAGCCCCCTGAAATTTAATTGCATTGTTGTATCACCGGGGGAACCTTGGTCAGCTTAGCCTTATGTAAACAAATGGTTTAACTATATATAAATTTTCATCCAATAAAATACAAGTGTTGCATATCAAATTGTTTAGTGCTTCCTCATGTGTTATTTCTTGTTTAATATTATATATTAATAACGATTACGCAAAATGAATATACCAATCATTTGTTTATCGTAATAAAGAATCTTATCGTTTATTATTATATAAAAGACAAAAGTTTTGTTCCACGTTTTGATATTTATGCTATTGTATTAAAAAAAAGAAAAGCTATCAGTCAGAATGAAAAAATCAAATCTTGGTAGTAATCAAGTCTTCAAAACCATATGAATGATTTTTTTTTTTAACGCACATTGTTGTACAAAGAGAAAATAATAATAGGGGTAACGCGTCAATATTTATTATTTAATTTTTTTTCTTGAAAAAAGAATGTCGTTTTCTCAAAGACAAAGAACAACAAGCGATCACACACGAAGTAATTCGTGACGAGTGAGAGAGGGAAAATGATGGTGATGATTATTGATCTGAAACTCATCATTCTAAGTTACTACATGGCGAATTTTGATTCATTTGTATTTCTAGAATCAACATCCATTGCTACTCCTACTACTACTGCTCCAAAGTCTACTTCAACTTGATACTAATCTCGTAAATTAAAATTAATCTGTTGACTTTTTGAATTACATTTACCGTGTTTAAAAGATAAATTTAACTTTATTTCTTTTTAATGCATCATACTCATTTATCAAATTACTTAAAACAAAATAAAAACTTAAGATTGATACAAGCTTATTTTTTTATGTGTAATTATTTTTTAAGAAATAAATTTTATTTTAGGAAAAAATATCGATTCATGGGCCTTGGAGGTTAACAATGACACAAAATTCTTTGTCAATCCAGGAAAGGATAAAAGAAGTGATCATTCCTTGCACTAATGTTGAATTCGAACATGATATTTGTCTATTATAAATTTCAGATCCAAACTTAATTTTATCAATCTTTCTCCAAAAAAGAACGTCATGAATTATCTAATACAACAGAGTGTATTTTTAATAAAAAGAACTATTCCTCGACCATAAAAATCAGATATGAAAGAAATAAAGAAGCACTTTATGTATATCATTACTTTTCAGTTTAAGCATGCCACTTTTTGTTTTATTTGAGTTCACATTTAAGAGAAGAAAAAAAAAGAATAAGAAGAGGGGGACTTGGATGACACGAGAAATAATTTTAAGGCTTATAATGTAAAGAAAATTTTTTTTTTATTATTTCGTCACCATTTTGCTTATTTAAGAAAACTATTTAAGCCAGAGAAAGGTTTGATCAGCTCGAAAAAAAAGAAGAAGGCGATAATACTGATAAGGAAAATAAAGAAGAAAAAAGGATCGCATTTTTTAAAAAAAAATAAAAGAAAAAGAAAAAGAAACCGAGGAGGAAGGCATGATATCATGCTGGTTTCAAGAGCAAAATACAGATATAAAGGAAATATTTAAATCTGGATTATCCCCTGCAGTTATCACAATTAATGATATGACTTGGGTAAAAATTTTATCAAATAATTTAATAGACAAATAATCGTGCTAGTTAGGTAGTAAATTATTTTTCTTCCGATTTTCTTTTCTTTTGAAAGGCTTTACGTTAATGTTCTTTTATCAGTTATGATTTTTTCTTAATATAAATTTGTACAATAAAAAAGAAAACGTTGGTTGTACAAGTAATACATCAATTAATATTATTAAATGTCAATTTTGAGTTTACCACCTGAAATTTTAACCGACATATTCAAATTCATTAAAGATGATTATAGAACATTATACTCTTGCATTTTAGTTAATAAACAATGGCATAATTATAATATACCAGAATTATGGAGAAACCCATTTTATTCTTTTAACAGCACCAAGATATTCATCAATTGTTTATTGGTAGAAGATAAAGATTTCTTAGTGAAGAATGGCATTAAATTAAATTTTGAATTATTAGACAAACAACCATTATATAACTATGCAAAATTTGTTACTAAATTAGAATTCATCAAACTTAATGAAAATTTATATAGGCTGGTAGATTCCTCATATATTCTTGTTAAATTTAAATCTTTAGTAGAAAGATTAACAAACTTTATTCTAGATTATTCAACAACTATTAGAACACTTACAACTGCTAACTTGGAATATAAATGGTTGATAAACCATCATAGATTTGATACATGTTTTAAGAATCTTTATAGATTAGAATGTGATATTAATAATAGTTCTAAATTTTTTTTTAAATTAGGATATATTTGTGAAAGGATTCAATCATTGAAATTAGTTTATTATAGAAAATACTTGCGTAATTTTGATTTAAACGATTATAGTCTAGCTTATTTAATTAAAGCACAAAATCAACTTAAACATTTAAATATTTGCTCGCCTGATTACCAAGCTTTGCCTGATGAAATAAAGACAGCAATATCAACACATTCACAATCGATAATTAGCTATTCCAATGTCGGAGAAAATACATTAGATTCTGTAACAATATCATCATTTCAAAATTTAAAATCTTTATCATTAACAAATGTGAACAAAGATATAAAAAAATTCAAATCTATTTTTTTCCCAAAAATCGAATCTTTATATTTATCAAGTTACTGCCAACCATATCTATTAGATTTATCAGATTTTGTCAAAGCTAATGGAAAATTTTTTAAAACATTGACAGTTGGTGGTTTACCAACAGACGAAGAATATTTGGGAGTATTGATTGAATCAATTGCTCAAAATTGTCAAAACAGTCTAGAAAATTTATCTATAATATATAACAATGAATTAGATTGTAAGATAATTAATATTTTTAATAATTGCATCAAGTTGAAATCTATAGAATTCAAAAAGGTTGATTTTGAGGTTGGAGGTATATTTGATGGTGATAAAATAATGGCAGTTCTAAATCAATCATTGCCAAAAAATTTAAATACTATAATTTTTGGTTATTTAGTTACTATTTCAGATAATTCATTGGAAGTTTTGATGAACAATTGGAAAGGGCCTAAACCCTTTACATTAATAGTACCTGGTGACGTAGATTTTTATCTCCCAGAACTACAAGATATATTAATAAAATATCAAAATCTGGGCTTTTTAAATTATAAATTTTTAGATATAGTTATATAGTTAATAAGTAAAATAAAAATTTTTATTATTTTTATTGGCCTAGGAATAATTATATATATTTGTAAAATTATATTTAATTGTTTTAGTTCTTGTTTTTTTTTGTATGATTTGATCATTTTGATAATTACAATATTGTGAAAAAGATTACCTCTTGTATTGTAATTTTTTTTTTTTTTTTTTTGCCATAGCAGTCAACACGATAATTGAAATTTTTTTGGAAATTTTAACTTAAAAGAGTTCCTAATTTCTTTACAAGTGATCTCCCATAAATCTAGACAGCGAACCTTGTCAATAATGAAATGTAAACTACCTTTTCTCATCATTACAAGTTCTTTGCTATCTTCCATGAATTCCTCGTAATAAGTCTGATTGATCACTATTATAAGTCATTTTTAAATTATACATCTGATCTTGGATTAGTGATATAAACAGGCTGTTACACCAGGAACTTTGTAACAGAAACTTTTCCCACCACCAGTTCTTATCAATGAAGATAATTATTGTTTAATAAAATATTTCTAATGAATGCCATGCACTAAAAGTAGATGAAAATTTATCAATATATTTTTATTAAATATTAATTATTCATATAGAAATCAGCACTGATTACACAAGCATCCATTAACTTGTATTTTCCATGATAGGAATCACTAATGTTGTATTGATTTTTCTGCCTAATGTTTGCATATTCTAATAACGATGGACCACTATATATATATATTATAAATAAATGTTATGTATGAAAGAAAGTAGATATAAATTCATAAAAATCAACATCATCATATCATAATCATTATCATATCATAACCATCGTTGATTGCATCCACTTGATTTAAAGTAAGGTGCAATTTTTGAAACACATTCATCATATCTATTTTATTATAAATTAAAAAAAATCATTATTTTATTTACCCTCGATTTTCTAATTATTACCTTTCTTTCGACCAATTAACAGTTGCTTCATCCATTTTACTAATAGCGATAATTAATCTATTTACACCTGATGTTGTAGCTAACACTATATATTCATGCGTTAGATTCATCTTTATAACCAACCTATTTATATACAGACGTAATTATATTTTTTGATAATTATATAATTATAAAAATAAAATCTTTGATGAATTATTCTTACTATAATCATTATTACAAACCAATACTTCATTTAACACCTGCTTGAGATGCACCACCAATCATACTTGAGACAAAGTTTTTATGATCTGGCGCGTCAAGAATTGTACATCTGTTTTAAAATAGGCAAACCATATTCAACTGTTGAATTTACCCTTGAGAATGAAAAATATTCCAATTTAAAAATTAAGCCAAACTAATACTTAGTTTCATAACAAAAATGATGAAGAACATTTAAATAGCTTTGCACATTCTTCTTTGTTTGTATCAAGAGCCCATGACAATAAATACCAGGATTCTCTATTTTGTTCCTTTGCTTCCCTTTCATATTTCTCCGTAGTTCTTTGATCAACCATTCCAGTTATATATCTAATTGTAATGTTATATTATGAGTTAATAAAACTAAATAAACTCTTATCATTTTTTTTTTGAATTACAAGATATTTCCTCCTATGGTTGATTTTCCGGCATTTAATTGATCAATAAATTAATTGTATTTAGTTGAGATTAAAAAAGAAATTAGGTTTGGTGAGACTTATCAACATGTCCAATGAAAATAATGTTGAGGTATTCTTTGCATATAGATCTTCAACAACTTCGCCATCAACTACTTGATTAATTTGTGGTGTTGGGGTTTTGTTGTTAAATAAGTTAATTTATCAGTATCAAAATCTAGATTATTACCCATTTTTAAAATTTTAAAAAAAAAACTTTTTATAATAAATATTTAGAAAAAACTTTTTCAAATATATTATTTATTATTTTACTGATTTGTTACCAATAGATAGTTATATATATTACACAATTACAAAATTTGAGAAAGAAAACCAATTAAACCAATTACGAAAGTTTAGAAAAATAAGGTTCAATAAAAAACAAAAGCTATTTTTAATAAATAAATAGTAAAGACAAGTATAAACAGTTGAACCTTAATCGCTAAATTGATTAAATTAAAACTAATTATAACTAAATTTTGTAAAGATATTATGATTAATAAAATCCATTGTTCTAGCTCGATTGATTTTTTGAATATGTTTGCTTCATATTTTAATATTAATTTAGAAATAATTATATTTTTATTTCTTAATTTAGTTTTATTGTTAGTCTTGCTTCTGATAGTTTTCTCTATCAATATTTTCGGTCTAAAGAATCTTTCGGGATATAAATGATGACTTTCACCTTTTAGCCACCACATATCTTTATTTAAAATTTCTAAAATTGGTTTATTTTTTTTAATTACTAATGAATCTTTAGGAGAATTTGTTGATGTTGATAGAATGAAATTTGGTTTTGCTTTACTAATTTTATTTCCTGAGGTTGCTTTCACGAAGAAATCATTGTCATTATCGTTACTATCATCTTCAGTATTATTATTTATAAAATTTCCATTTTTTTGTTTTTTCAAAGAAATTGTCTCGATGATATTATTATTATTGATGATTTCAATGTCCATATTTTTTTTTTCTTCCTTCATTCACAATTAATGAAAATAAAAAATTTTCTCATCCCATATTTTTAATTTTTATATTTAAAACACTTTTTAATTATTTATTCAAAAAAAGTAAATCAAAAATTGGAAATATTATCATTGTTTAACAATACATACAAATAAACACAATATGAAACTTCAAAAAATAATACGTCAAAGTTCGCGTTATAAACGTTTATTCCATGATTGTGTGATGTATTTATTGCTGGTCGTGATGTCTACTTCTATAGTAATAATGAATCAAGAAATCTTGTAAGGTTGGGTATTCGAATGTCCAACCGTGTGTGTATGTATTTGATTGTATTTTGAGAACGAGGGCGTGATTTTTTAAAAAAAAATTTATAAATTTCTATTACACAAAATTCAAAAAAATTTTTTTTACTAACCTCTTAAATTACATTGAACCTATAGACAACCTATTTCTCCAAACGCCACATGTTGTGTTTCCATGATGTACTTTAAAAGCTCCCGTTTACATCTCCATCAATGACAGATTTACACAATCCGTACATATAAAGGTCCGATTTTGTTCGATGCGTCCACACGTTTTACTAGAGTATTTCTCGGTGCGGACAATCGCTTTGCACCCGAGGGAAGATGCTTGCGGGATTTATGGAGCAAATATTGGCGAAAACAAAAATTGCGATCAGGAACACCATCATTTTTGGCCATGTCTTTTTCTTTTACGCTTATTTATGATCAGAATCATTTCACTTTGGTGATGCAAGCATAAGCAATATATTCTACTCATGTCCCGCCTTCCATTATACGATCCCACCACTCGGTTAAGAGAAATGACGCCAGCAGGATCGCCGGAAAATTAGAACTTAGCTATCAACCCTAATCTCAAGTAGTTTGTTTAGGGATACATACCAAGATGATTCATGGTGAGATGATAACCATATTATATATTTTCTCACTTGATTTTAATATCATTGAGAAAATTTACTTCTTTATTTCCCAAATCTTTTGATCTAATGACGATCGGCTGTAGTTTAATTTAAAAATCTTCTTTGATACTAGCGGGGGGTATCAAAAACCCATTTAAGATCGAATCAATGAACGC